AAGGGATTGACTCTGGGGGGCAAAGGGTGAAAGGGGGTGAAGTAGTTTTTGCTTAAAAAGTTGTCCCCCTTGACAAATCAATGGTTTTCGATAAATTCGTGGTGGGAAGTTTTCATATGAACACCTTATATAGCGAGCTTAACATGTCTTTTTATATTTATTTTATTTTGTTTTGCCTTTATTTTTGAGTGGGCGGGGTTTCAGCCAAGGCTGCTCTACAAACCCACTATACATTTACAAATATCCATGCCCGAACCCGGATTAGAACCAGGGATCCTTAGCGCCACAGTCCAGCTTTATCTGAACTGCGCCCATAGAATATAATGAAGTAGTGGGAAGACTTCAATATATTCTATGGAGACATCTTGAATTTCTCTTATTTTTCCCATTCGGCGCTGGAACCATTACCATGTCAATATTTGACGCACTGATAGCTTTAATACAAAGGATTCCGTGTTTTAGTGTAGATATAAAAGAGCATTCTTTACATGTATTTTTACAAATATATTGCTGTGTTTATTTCGTCTGGCAGGATGAAATTTTCGGACATATTATTTAAGATGGACAAGGGAGGTCTCCTTCTTGTGTAATTAAATTTTATTAATTTGTCGTTGGTCTATGTGACGGAATGGGGATTATTGTGTTTGTTTACGTTTTTATTTTATTTAACGTAGAATTTCCGGCAATTTTGTTTGGATTTTATCTGTAATCAAATGTAAATGCTTATTTAATTGACATGTGGATGTGATTTATCGCCTTTTCTGTGTAGTGTAGGGAGATGAAATTTTATTCTTCCTAGAATTCAAGTTTGGATTTATCTCTTATGTCTGATAACAAATTGATTTAGAAAAATTATTCGATTTCTATTTTTTGGTCTATTAACGTACGTTGAAGGGATAGTCTTTGTTGTCAACTGTGTATGATTGGTTGTTACAATTTTGATTTTCGGATGAAGGGTTTTGCCTTAAATAAGACATCAACAAGAAAAGCGCCGCTTTTAGCCAAAGTCAACGCAGAACTACGTTTCATTGAAAATTTAAATCAGCCTTTTGCCAGAGTTTACGCAGTATTACGGTTCGTTGAAGTTTTGAAATCAGCTTTTTAGCCCTAGTCTACGCAGAGTTACGTCTCGTTGAAGAATTTATCTCGCTTCTTGCGAGTTCTATCGATGATTATTGGTTTTGAAGCCACAACCAGCATTGAAAGTTCCGTCTATAGTGAGTTTGAAGTTTGAAGAAGTTTTTCGTGTGTGAAGCCGGAAGCCGAATTCACGGCTAATTGTTGTTCTACGTTTTGAAGTTTTGGCAATTAAAGGTGCTGCAAGAAAAGGTGTTTGTCGGCGCCCCCATAAGTGTTTTCAACGTGAACGTCCTTGTCTGCCCAAGGAGAGGATGCTCCGATTACTCGGTCATTAATGTTAAGTGTGTTCATTGAAAATTGTAATCGTTTTTGTGTACTGTGTACAGATACTTTTCTTTGGATATACAAGTACCTAATGTAAGTAGTTAAGCCATAATTTTAATCTATTTGTAATAATTGTTTGCGTCATTGTACAATTTTCCTTTTGTGTGTTAAGATTAAATGGCACTTTTGTAATTTTCACATTAATTTCCGTGTGTTTCATTCACAACGACGTCTTTTCTAATTTACCTGTTGTTTTTATTTGATGCTTGCCCAAGGATTATTTTAATTATTCAAAATTGTGAAGTTCGCTTGGAGTTTAAGGTACTTAATCTGACCCACTATCTGTTAGAAGTTAACAGGTTAACTGAGAGCAGAGTCGAATCTTTCCTCTGTGCTGGGGATAAGTTTGTGCCGTGTTAATGAAAAAAAGGTGAAAAGCTTGCTAGATTTTTGTTTTGGTGTTTTGTGTATGGTCTTTCTGGCCTACGGACCTGTGCACACCGCAATATAAAATTACATTTAAAATTTTAGCGCCTAAAACGGCAAGGAAGATATTCGGACCCAACACGGACCCATGTGGGACTCCAGGTAACTAATTCAGGGGAAGAAAATCTTTGCCAACGCCAACGGCCTAATTTACCCCTAATACTAATGCGGTATACCTTACTTGTAAGCCTTTCCCAAAGGCTTTACTAGATTATGTCGGCAACTCCAAAGAAGAGTTTGGTTGATGCTTTTCGTGGCTTTACAGATTACCTATACATCAGTGCAACATTGAACAAGATGTAGGCCTTTTCTGTGTGATATGGCAGACTGCGTACTATATTTCATTTTTTTAAAATATTGAATCACGAATTTCTTCATTTTTTGTATATGCATATTTTTAGTGCATTTTGTGAAAAAAATACGCTATTATATTCGTTATGGCTGGCTGGCTGTCCGACTGAGATCTCAGCAATTACAATAGCTAGGGACTTCAAATGTTCACTAAAAGCTTTCTGATGTAGTGTAGATGTGCAGGCTATTTCTATTTTGAGTTAGATTACTTGCGAGATCGATAACTGAAGAAAATAATTTCGAAATGGTTTTCGGAGGTAATTTTACCATGAGATAGCGCTACCAGTATAACAACTTAATTATTAGCGCCTTTTTGAAAAAAAAATACGCTATTATATTCGTTATGGCTGGCTGGCTGGCTGTCCGGCTGAGATCTCAGCAATTACAATATTGCTAGAAACTTTAAATTTTCACTAAAAGCTTTCTGTTATAGTGTAGATGTGCATGCCCTTATCTATTTTGAGTTAGATTACTCGTGAGATCGATAATTTTAAATTTTGCTAATGAAATATTGATCTGCATTACCAAAATTTACCATTATGCTGATTTACAACTTGTTTGCAAATTGAATGCTTTTTTCAAATATCATAAATGTCTTAATTTCGTAATTCGTGGAAGCCATATTCATCGATAAACCCCTCGAACCTTTTGAGTCTTGTATACCCTGCAATTTAGGTGTAGCAGTATAGTCTTATCTGTCAAAAATTCTGACGCCTTGTCTAAGGAAGGGCAGCTTTAAAGTTTTTAATACTGTCTATCGCCGTAAATTGTAGTCAGAATCCCCTCACAATCCCAGAAAACCGTTCCTATCAATAAACACTGCGTTTTGGCTCTTTTTGGTGATGGACATCCAAGGAGACCCAATTTCCTTTGTTTGTCTCCATAAATCCAAAAATCAGTTCAGGCTCTATGTAATTTATCATACACAGTTGTTCTTTTATTCTCCTGATTTAGCTGACTTTTTAGTTGTTGACTAACACTAGTAATAATAATGTATGCGCTAGATGACCTATAAATTCATTAAAAAGGAAAGGTACATGAGAAGCTAGAATAAAGGTGCTAACTAGATTCGCTAATAAGTATTTCAATTATTGAGAAAGGTTGTCGGTGAGAACATTTCCTGAATTTTAAGTGTTCACTATCATCGTACGCTCTATTAAGAAAACCTTCAATTCACTACAGACAATTTTAGGTTGGAAATTGCAACAGGATTATATGATAGGGGGAACACAGATTTCTTTTGAAAGAAATTTAGCTGCAAAAGCCGGAAACACTTACGCTCAATTTATATGAAGTACATTTCATCATCCATCAATAATCCTAATCGAGTTATCTGGGCACCCATTTTATTGAATTTCGCATTTCTATAAACTTTTGTAAAAAAAAGCTAGACCAATCCGATATCTTTCCGATCGTTTTCATGGCTTTCTCCAAAACTTTTCCATTTAGTTCATAGAAAGTTACACAAAAGAACACAGAATAAAAATTTCAAAGTGGCGACGTTGTAATTCTCAACCTGTTCCGCAATTCTGTTTGTACATGAAAGCGGTCGTGCCAAAGAGTATTTTAGATCTTATATTTAATAATTAGATTTCTCCCTTCACATCTTCATGCGTGCATAAATTCCTGGAATAAAGTATGCGGTAGCGCTATGGTTAATCATAAATAAAACAGCCAAGTAGTTATTTATGGTAATAAACGTTTATTTTTGTATAATAATGGTCTATATTACAATATGACAATATACACGAACTGGTGCTACCGTTAAGCATACAAATATGATGCTAGTACCATTTTTATTATAAAAAGAAAAATAATCATGAATTTCGACGTCTGCGAATATCAATTTTAATTTAGTCTGTGCGTTTGAATAATCTGGAATTATAAGAATAGGGGGGCTCGTAACAAAGCGGGCTTGTTTGGGAGGAAGTGAAGCAAATCAATATCAATTTCCTAGTTTCCTTATCCCGAGCCCAATTAACGTGGTATGTAATTAAAGCCCACCTTTACCAATGAGAAAATAATATCACAATTTCAAAATAGAGTACGTATTTTGTTCGCGCGGTTAATTTAGGTTAAAGATGTATTTATCTTGGAGTTTCTGCAAGGGTTGGTGTATTTATAATAGTTTACTAAACTCAAACAGTCCTAACGGTATAATTTTAGTTTCATAGTTATTTCGGATTTAACGTTGTATGTTCCGTAGCGAGCATTCATGGCGAAAGGTGTTATATAAATTTCGTGGAGTGTGTGCGCGGTTTGGTTGGAGGGTGGCTTACACTTATTGTTTTTGAGAACTTCGTCAAAAGCTCGCGTGCTCCTGCTTAATTCATTAATTAAAGGTGCGGGAAAAGTTTTCTTCTATCCAACTTTGACAGTTGTCGACTAATATATTAAGCTAAAAACTGGAAAATAGGTTTTTGCATAACAATTCAAGATTTTATTTATATGGCATCTCAAACCCAAATTTATTGTGTTCATGAAATATAAAGAGGAAAATCAATTATAAACCAGTCCCATTCTCATATTTAGTAGACTTATTTCGGCCAGAAAGAGCAGTCTTCCCTTAGTATCGCCATAGTACAATAATAAGGTCAATTTCTTTGACTTAATCCAGGTGAACTGAATCCGTATATGTGTGATAAAAGAATGCACTGATACATTCCCATTACTAATCACTCTACAAATTACTTGTTTATGTAACTGAATGACGATCTAATTAACACAACGGTTTTGGTATCGCCACAGATAATGTATAATTAAATATTAATAACCAATCGAGCTGGTATATAAAGCAAACCCGAAACTTCTCTCAGCAAGTGCAACTTCTGGCAAGTGTCTTAAAGTACTTAATTTAAAATGCAAGCTGTTCTCTTGGTAAGAATTTTCTATTAAATAAGGGAATGGGTAAGATAATAATCTTCCATTTTAGATCACCGTTGTGTTGGCGTTCTTTGCCTTGGCGTTCGCCAACCCCTCGCCCAATCCCAATCCGATGCCAAGACCAAGACCTCAATATTGGAATTACGGATATGGAATGTCAATGCCTTACTACGGAATGGGCTATGGTTACTACTTCTAATTGCTGTCAAGTTCAACCCCTTTCTGTGAACCACCGTTTTTGCAAATTTTTTTAATACTTATTTAGGTTTTTAAATGACGTTTCACCAAACTCAGAATATTAGCAACCCGTTATGTTTTAGATTTCTTTTATCTCTGCCACTGTGGCTAACAATTAGTAAACCTAACAGTTTCTTTTAAATCTTTTATTTGTGTTCTATTTACTGACAAACTTCAACATGCACAATTATTGTCCTTTCAAGTGTAAATATGAGTAACGGGCAAATATAGACCATAGCAGCTAATCAATTAGCGAAACCAGAACTCTCTAGGTGGTCCGGGGGCCGAGATCTCCATGGAACAGACAAGACAGGCAGCAAATTTGGCAGGTTTCCCATTATTACCAAATACCAAATGGTATGTGGCCGAAGCTAAATGAAATTATTAAATGATACTTTGCCATTACAACTTATAGGGAATAAGGGATGAATTGTAACAAATTGTATCAGGAGGTAGGTCCACGTGTAGGGAAAATCTCTCCGCTAGTTTTTTGCCTTCAAGAAAAGCGAAAAACAGTGTGTGAAGAATCCGACCTAAAAACAGGTAAATAAATAATGATGCGATGCGGTGTACAAACGATGAGCGTTTCGGAATAGAACCCACTACAAGTTTAAAGAGAAACAAAAAAAAGCAATATTGTTGTGGGTACTTAACATACCTTCAGCAATAAGCACGCTGAAGCTTCGTCGTGTAGAGAAAACTAATGGACGGTGGATTTATGCTTAACTGAAAGTACAGTGAGAATAAGTTACTTTCTTGAGACATACGTGAATATTTGCGATCGGATTAAATTGCTCGCATTGAAATAAATTGTTACGCGAACGCGTTGGGGTCAAAGATATAAAACATTTCGTTGCGCTACGCTACGTCGCTACGGAACATGAGTGGCGTACGCTATATCTTTTTAACGAATAGACTATGAAAAATTTGGTGGGAGACCGGCATTCTTACTCAAACCTTAGAAGAGAATCTATGCAAGTCGAGTGCTGCATTTTTTCGATCGCGTATTCTTAGTCGAACCTTCGGTACAAACCTACGTAACTTAAGCTCGGAAATTTGCAGATCGCTCAAAACGAAACTATTCGCCGGGCTCTCAACGCGAATTTTGTAAGTGGTGTGCACCCTCTTTGAGATCGAACCGAAAGCCACAGTATATAAGAGAATCGTTAGCCCCGCAACTGAAGATTGCGCCATTTTCGATGAATTTATTGTCGTGGGTACTTTATACCCTCAGGAATAAGCAAACTTCGTCGTGTAGAGATAACTAATGGACGAATTTATGTTAAACTGAAAATACAGTGCGAATAAGTTACTTTCTTATTATGTACGCGAATATTTGGATTGGATTAAAGTGCTCGCATTCAAATAAATTGTTACCACGAAGGTATTGGGGTCCAAGGTCCAAAACATTTCGTTGTGCTATATTTGGACTAACAAGTTATGTTAAGATAAGAAACATGTGCTCAATCAGATAAGAGTCGAAACGGACAGTGTTGCCGGTTCTAAAAACCGTCGCTACGGAGCATGCGCGGAGTATGTAGCGAAAACGCAGCCGAAGCCGGGTCTCTGGGGGCGCATCTCGGTTTTTCAGATTGGCGAATCGACTATGAAAAATTATTATTTATAATACGAAGAAAATCCTACTACACCAAATGGTTACTTTATAACAAGTCTTTTTTCTAAACAATTTTTAACATTTTGGTGTAGTAGGAGTTGACAAAATGTCAAAATATTACTATTTTAAATCTGAAAATGTTTATTGTATAAAAAGTAAGGTTTTTCAATTCATTACTAGGCTCATCTAACAGGAAATTTTATGCTTTTTGTTTGCTCTCTAAAATTTGGGCATGAGTGATGGTATCCAAGGGGAACGTGGCAAATCGCTAGTAAACGGTAGCTATGAAAATTTTTACTGAATAAAAGGTTCAAAGGAGATTTGTATGCTCTTTCAAAAAGCGTTGTTCGAAATTAGCGTTAATTATGAACTCATGATTTGAACTCATTTAAAATGAGTAAAGGTAATTAAAGGAGGGGCTATACCCAAATAGATGTGCGCAGCACAAGGTGTACCAAAGTTCGGGGTGTAAAATAGATAGATTGAGTGGTAGATGAGAACTTCCACATAAACCAGGGGCTCAAATGAATGGTCTCAAAATGTGCATTTCTTCTTTATAATTTTCCTGACACGGGAGAATGCGTCAAGTTGTATTATTTGTGACATCATAAAGAACGTTGAGCTTAACCGGTCGGCTGTGGAAAGCGTTGTAAAGATGTAAAATGTAGAAATTCATAGTAGGTTTGATCAGCTGTATTGTAATGACCTACTCACTACTGTATATAAATAGTTAATTTCTTTTTACCTTCTATAGTGTGATAGTAACGGGCGATCAAAAATGAGTTGCTGTCGAGTCGCCTTTGGAAGTTCAAGTTAAATACGATTTCCCATGTAAACAAAAGTTCCAAAGGTGACTCGACAGCAACACATTTTTGAACGCACAGTATTTGAATTTGATAGTGTAACTTAAAGGTTAAATTTAACAGCGTATGGTATTAAAGTAGATACATGATATTATTTTGGCATATTAAGCAAAAGATTCGGCATTATGTCGTGACAAATTATAACTCATGAAGTAGGTACTGAAAAGAAAGCATTGTTCATTCGCTCGCGGATTCAGAAAGGAATCACGTATTAGTAGCGTGCAATTATTGCGATTTATAAAAAAAACATAATTAGCGCTGGAATTTGTTACTTTAAAAACGGGTTGGTCCTATAGTTAAGGGTTAAGTAAATTATAAAAGTTAGTGAAAGAGAAGAAATATTTTAATTAGAATTAGGGAACCGCTCTTTTAGAGTGGTTTTCAGAATTTTGTTTTCCTTATTTCAACATTTAATAATAATAAATGTACTTACATTTTTATTAATTTGTTTTGACTGATTGCTATTCTAGAAGAAAAGTAAAAAAGAGTTTTGGTCAAAGAGAAGTCCGAATGCGAATTACATAAACTCTCCAGAAAATATTGGAGTACAGATTTCAAAATGGGTATCTGTCCAAATTTTAGTAACAGGTTATTAACGATTAATGAGATATGAGTGAAACTGAATTAAACTATTTTTATCTCAGCTAGCTCGAAGTAAAAGGTAAGTTCCCAAAGTGCTCCCGAGAGCAGAGTAAAGAAATTAAAAGAAGTAGTAAAAGTAAAAGAAATTACAAGAAAAATATGCGCCACGAACCCGAGAAAATGTTCAACCCTTTGCAAGGTACCAGTACAAATTGGGACTCTTCCACGAGCCAGAATTACAAAACCACCCTTTAATTTGTACCTGACGGGTACAGTATACCTAGGAATTATGGAGAAATTTTCAACAGTAATAGCAGCATACCCGAATACCTACTTAAAATCGTCTGTGTTCTGATTACTGAAAGAATTAAAGGAGTTGGGTACTTATTTGGGGGCGTAGGTTACCGATGCAATATTTTTGAACTATAGCTTACTTAAAAAATATATTCACAAATCTAATTCACAATGATATGATATAAACGAGATTTTTTGATCCTCAAGCTCGACTCGAAAGCTCCTAAACACCTAATTCTAATAAATTCTTGAGCTTATACGCAGTAGCTGAGAGTGGACTGTGGGTTCATTGCTCGCATTACTGTGTCCTGCTTCGGTACTATTCAAAAATTGTCCTTTAGATATTTAAGAAAGGGAAAAAGGTATAAATTTGTTTTAAATTTAACCATACCTAGAACCAGAAATTAGAAGTGGTAACCATATCCCATTTCATAACACGGCACTCCTCATCAATATCCGTATCCACAGTGTTAAGGTACTGGTTTAGACATCGGGTTAGGGTTGGGCCGTTGGTCCGTATCAGATTTGTTTTTTTTTTCGAGAAACTTGCCAACAGTAGTACTTAGCTAAGCTGGTTTATTTGTTGTGATTAATATGTCATTATACATTATCTCGATGCGATAGAAATAGGTATCTCTTAACATAAACAAATATAGCAGGTTGTTTAGTAATGGTAAATTAATTGTTAGGCTAGTACGAGTATATAAATGCACTGTTTAATCACACACCTGAGATCAGTCCCGTGGATCAAGCCAAAATGGAAGCAACACTTTTGGTATGTGTGCCTTAATTTCTTACATAAAATTATTACTAAATCAATTATAGATTGCATTTTTATTGTCAATTGTCGTTTTGACACTTGCAAACCCATTACCGAATCCAGAACCCAGACCGCAACTTTGGAACTACGGCTACCGAATTGGAGTGCCACACTATGGAGGACTAGGTACCTTTAACCGTCCTTTCGATTGACTGATTTGTTCGCGTTTTCAGGTCATGGGTACTATTTCTAGAAGGCAGTCGTGTAGCTCCTCTGAACCTTTAGTAAATATAAAAAGATAGAAGAGGGAAATTTTTTTGTGACGCCCTTCCTTTCCTAAAAATGTGAAATTCCACTTTATTGTCTCAATATCTTGAAATTGAAGTTAACACGCTTTGCAAGTAAGGTACAGAATCTTGGTCCAAACCTTTTAACCCAAAGTATGAACCTATTTTGTCTCATTAACAACCACAATGCATCAGTATTTTTTTTCACCTAAAATGCGGATGATTTTGTTTTCTAAGAGCTCAACAGAATTACAAGTAATGATACAAGAAATGCATCTTGAATCAGAAAAGATTTGGCTACTGATAAACAAAAATAAAACATCGATAATGACAAGCATAAGAGGGAGACAAAAATAAACGGAATATGGACAGGTTAGCCAAGGCAGAAAAAGCAATAGAGCGAAGAATGCTACATATAACATTAAAAGATAAAAAAAACGCCTGGATAAGAACAAAAACCTAAGTGGCAGATGAATAAGAGCAACAAAATTGTTGCAATATGTCGGACACAATGCGACAAAAGATGAAACACGTAAATACTAAACTGGAAACCATGGTTGGGGAAAAGAGAAAAGGGTCGCAAATGCGATCAAGAGACATGCCGGTTTAACCTGGAAGCGACAGGCCCAACGAGAGACTCATGGAAAGAAATTGGAGAGATCTACTGTGGCAGTCAGAAGCGGCATTAAGTTTAAATATTGGGATCCTTTTTGGTGAAATGGGAAAAGCTGTGTAAATTGACGGGCACAAGAAAATGGCAGATTGAATGATGGTGAGAACTGAAAGCGATTGTTAAATTCGTCCTACAAAAAGGGTTGAGTTCCAGTAGGATCGTTTAGCTGTAGGCAAATTGGGAACGTCATACTGTTACCTATCATGATTACCGTAGGAATTTTCTTCAATCTAACGCTCCAGCAAAATTGGCACCAAAATATGCCGGGCCATTTGTGGTGTTTCAGAAAGTGTCTCCCTGGATGGATAAACTAAAGAATATGGATGGGCGATTTAGAGGATGTTGGCACGCGAAGGATTTAAAGCTAATTCCGTTGCCACGGTTCTATTTGAGATAGGTCAAAACGGCCAAGCGACAAGTTTCTTGCAAAAGTAAGATCGACATTGGTTCAGCCGGTACAATTTTGCACGAAGGTGTATTGTTATTTTTTCTTTCTGTTTTATAATTGGAATTTCTACTTTAAACCTGAAATTCCGATTTTAGACAATTTTAATATTCACCATTTCAACCAGCAGCGTGGAGTAGCGAGTTATGATTTTAAACGAATTAAAAGAGTTAATATTTAAAAATGGCCGATTTCTTTAATAAAGCGCCATTTTTGGGCGTTGATTAATTAAACAATTAGGTAGGGAGTCGTAAGGGAAGATGAAAGTAGAGGCATTCTGTTTTGGGCCAGGGGAGCGTCAAAATATAATTCAAAATTCAGGAGATTCTTCGTTTAGCTACCGGGTGGAAAGTCACGCTCAATTATTACCGGCTCAAGAGAAACATTATAATAGTGGATAGAAGATTTTTAGTGGGTCCAGGAAAATTGGATACCTCTTTTTGGATTAAGTGAGTTTCGTGTTTAAAAAGGAAGTAAGTTAGCTACAATTCAGTGAACTCATAAAGAAACTTTTCGTACGTAGTCGTTCCTCTTCGATGTTTTTAATAAAAATGTAGTTGCCAATAAATAATCAAATGAGCTAATTTTTGGGAGGGACGTTAGGTGACACCAGCTATAAAGATCATTGCCATATCTGCAAGTACTCCAAAAAGTTAGTAAAATCCCAGTTTTTCATAACGATCGTCTTTCTGTGGTAATTTTTAAGGTCCATCAAGACGATAAACGCTGCGCGAAAACACTTCTGCAGCCAATATCCGGCACTTGGAATAGCAATACGAACTGGAAACTGCATTCTGCCCCCATTAGCATAATTAGTTTATTCTCGATATAATTAAAATCAATACGGTAAAAGTGGCCACTTTAATGGTACAAACAGAGAAAATTTTTAACATTAAATTCTCACGCGCAAAAATACTTAAATAATAATTAGCGAGTGTAATTTTATTTCCTACTAAATGGGACTTGAATAAATTAATTAAATTTTATCTTTAAAGTACAACTAGCGAACAAAAAAAGGAGCAAATATTGTTCATTTTATCACAGGGAAAAGGTTGTAGAAATTGTTCATCGAAGCAAAATCCGCGCGTTCTATTCACAGTCTTAGCGTCTACATCTGGATCTCTCGAGGTGAGCATTACTTTAATTAAGTACCAGCTGATGCTCGATTATTCCCAGACTTCGAAATTCATCCCTGTCCAAGCTGACACAAAGACAAGATGGAAACGAATATAAATATTTGTTCCTGCAGCCGATTTAACTCTCATTAGCGAAATTAAATTTCTAGTTTATAATAAAATATTTTGTTAGCCTATTTAGTTTATAATTCTGGACACGATGCGCTTTAATTTATTACTCTTTTTTTTATAATCCATATACAGTGTATTACTTTAATATAATTAACTAGAGTTTCTTTACAGTCGTAATAAACCGCATATGGAAATTTGGCTTTTACCTAAATAAGTATTTAGTTTTAACACTTCACTTGGTCGTTATTGCCCTTATCACATGAAGTTGTCTATTTTAAGTTTTCAACAATAATATTTACAAAAGTGTTTTTATACATAACCCGTCGACCCACTAATGCTGTAAAAGGTGCTTCCATTGTTCGCAGCGTCATCTTGATGGAAACTTCAGTGAAGGGAGTATTGTAGCGAATGGAAAGGGTGGTCTTTGGTATCAGGAGTCCATTTATTAGCTGTAATGGCAGGAATCCATTAGTGATGTGCATGTATGCCATATACAGTTCGTTGCTCACCTACCTTTATAATGCATCTCCTTGTACATTGTTGGACAATTATTATTCTGAAAAAAAATAAAATCTTATTATCGCATCAATTTAAATTTGCATGCAAAAAGCGAGCCAAATTCAATCAAAGCCCCAACATTAATGAAACATCTTTCGGAGTAAAAGTATTAAAATCTATTAATTGGTGTTTGCCAGCCGCACTTAAACGAACCTGTTGCTGTCCTTGCCTAAACACCCTACGCAAATTCATTAATTAAAAAATAATTTCGTTCATGACGAGTACTTTATTTCAAGTTTCAGACAAAAATACATCGAATGAACGATATTTATGCTTCAAAGAGACACAGAATTGGAAAAATTTGATGAATTGCCATTTTAATGTTAGTTTTTGGTTGTAAATTTGTTTAACTAATGGCCGTTTGCACCGACAAATTTAAGCGGAGCTTAGCTTAAGCGTAGCTTAAAATCCATGGCAATCATTGTCTCAATAATCGTTGTCATGGATTTTAAGCTACGCTTAAGCTAATCTCCGCTTAAATTTGTCGGTGCAAACGGCCATAAGAGAACATTTAATCGAAATTTTTACGTGAGTTTCAAGTGTTATCTGGTCAGGTTGTTATCGGAAGAATTAATTGGTTCTTTGACAAACAATGTCACGTGCGAGATAAGCGATGGAGGTGTTTTATCACTTCTAGCTACGTAGAGAAATTTCGACTGTCGTTAGGTTAATAACGATGTTGAATTTGTGAGAGGAGGTCGTTTTTGGAAGTATGCGCGAAAACGAGGCTTTCTTTGGTTATTTTGGAAGAGAGCGTAAATGTCTGTGACGCTTATTTTGTACCGGCAGTTCAGCCGGATATGCGACTTTACAAATAAAAAAACGTACTCGTCTTTATGTTGGTGGGAGACTCAGTAAAACGAAATAAAAAAATAATTCCTTTCTGATCTCCAATGACAGTTTCCTTAAGTTTCTGCCACATTACAGACATCATTTAAATGTTTTCTGCGTAATCTTCTCCCTCCTCTAGTCTCGTTACTACAAAGTTTCTGATAAACATTGATTTTCTGAATAGTCCCTTGGTCACGTTAATTCTCTGCAGTTTCTCCCACGTTTCTTTCGATGTCTCACATTCATTAATCAACTCAATTTGCTCACCAGTTATCGCAAGCGTCATCGAGGTTGCGCATTTTCATCTCTTTTCAACCAGGTGTTCCTTGCAACCATTGACTGATGCGTACTCCCATAGTTCAATCTTAAAAACCGCTATCTGCATGATCATGACAATATCGTTAATATGACAATATCACCGTACAGAGAAAAAAATATTTTCATTTATGAGTAGATTTGATCAGTTGATTTTTTTCAATCCGACACACGGTTTTCACGTAAAAAAAGAAAATATTTTTTTCTCTGCACGATGATATTGATCTATATTAACGATATTGTCATGATCATCCAGAGAAACGATTTTTATTTGCGAAAACCGAGCATATCGGATTGAAAAAAGCAAAGGTATCAAATTTGCTTAGAAATAAATGATTGGGCATCTTTTATTGCTTTATTTTATAGTGGGCGGAGTGTTAGCAATTTGTTACTCTTCCCACTCAACCCACTATACAATCACAAACACCCATGCCTCACCGTCCTGGGATGCGACTATTTCAAGAATAATTTTTATTTTCAGGCAAATCAGTGGCGTACCATCAATGTCTGCCAAAGTGGCCATGTGAAATTCCGTACGAACGCCACTGGTGGAAACTAAAAAAATGTGGTACGTTAAAAAATGACTCTGGATACATACTACATGCCAAATTTCATTAAAATATCTAAAGTGGTAAATTACAGATATTAATAATAAATGATTTATTTTTGAAAACTTTACACCAAAAGTTCAGACGTTTAGGATACCTATAGGTTCATATGAAGTTTTCTTTTTAAAATGGACCCAAAAATCGCCCCCTTAAATATTGACATTCTAATTTGGTGAGTTCAAATTAGTAATTATAGGCAATTTGGGCAAAGTGGGGTGTCATGTTTATGGACTTAATTTATTGAACTGCACCATTTCAATACAGTATAAATTGTGGGAGTTCCTATACTCTCGTGAACATTACCAAAAGTTTTTTAATCCGAAAAGCTAACAAGGTTTCAGATACACAAACGAAATTTAATTTTCTTAACGTGGGTATGTATAATTTACTTTGTATCTTTAGGCGTATAACCTTACTACTTAATTGCCTTCAGAAGTAATTCCAACCGTCCGAAAAAGTTTGACAAGCATACTTTCCTGTCATGTTAAACTCATACGACTTTAGTAAACCGTAAGCCATTGTCTTCTCTTTATTCAGTTTAAAAGCGGAGAAATCAATTGCCAGTCAGTTGCGCGTAACAAATTCGAAAGGAAATTAGAAAAATAAAGGTTAAACAGTTCGTTTAAGCAAAAATAATAGTGGGTTTTAAAAAGTCAAATGCCTATTTCCGCTTCCCTAAGATAACGTTCGAATGACCTCGTAACCAAATGACATTAACAGAACGTTTTCTCGCCTTGGGCGGCGAAGCTTCAACTTATTGGGGTTGAAGTTTGGTACAAGCTTGTCTGCGGGCGGTTTATATTACAACAGTTGTCGCGTAATTACCCTACAATTCCAAAGATTTTACAACTTCCAAAAAAACTTTTTCAAACTTTGATTATTTTTAATAATAAAATTAGCAAAATGTTTCGGCTAACAAAGTACGTTAAAAGGTGCGTATATCCGCACCTGGTTATTAGCGGAATGGAAGGACATAACAAAGGCTTAATAATTAACAACGTTGCAGTCGAAAAAAAAAACGCGACACGAATCTGCATACGTTTTCGTGTTTCCAATTTCCTGCGTATAGTCGCGTGTATGAGTTTTAGGGATATTTAGATGCGAAGTCTGGTAATTCCGGCCAGCGTGTGTTTCTCATTTCCGGGCAGTTATACTTTACGGATTCAGCTTCCGGTCTCTCGATTTTCATTCGCGGCAAGTTCTATTCCGGACACGTTTCAGATTGCCACAGACAGTGGAGTATTATAAAATTCCGTGATAATGTCAAAGATAATGTGGATAATGAAGTAGTTGTATTCGAATTCGTCTCCATTAACAACGTTTCGAATTAGTTTACAAACAAATTTTCACCCTTACTACATTGTTTGGTGAACTCGGAAACGTACTAGTAGCCCTCTCTATAAACGCTGAACCAGATTATCGAGAATAGCTCAATAAAATTTGCTAAATTGCTTCGACCCTCTCCTACTTTCTCCTGATTTTCGGAATTTATTAAGGATCCACCGCCCTCAGATCATAAGAGAAAAGTTGTTTTTTGGCCATGGAACTCAACCTCCGAAATAACAACTGTTTTTGCAAGAGCTACCGTTTTTGTTTCAACCATTACTTGAATTGTATAACGGATGGTTACTTTGCCGTTTCAAAAATTTGGTTTTGTTCAACATAGGAAAATTTACACATATACTGCTTCGTAGCGAACATGAACAAAAGTATGCCTGGAAATAAAAACGATAACAACATTCTAAATATTCGGTAAAACATTTTCGAGATAAAACTCTAGTAGTGAGACCGGAATGTAGGGGGCAGACGGCAGACGTCGTTAGCTAAAAGAGATTCCGCACCTTTGCTCCTTTCTCACCCACATCGGATCCTTTAGCATAACCGAGACCCCACCGATGTCGTAGGACTGTATGTTAACGCAAAATATGAGAATCTAAAGCCAATTAATTTCAAAAGTATAAATAACAGAAATAAACGCATTGGAACATTGGTGCAAACAGACGATTCTCGCAATAACATTTTTCCGAAAGTTATATGGAACAATATTCGTAATCCACGAGCAGCATTCGTAAGATTAAAGGTGAAATGGGTACCCTGTTGTGAAATAATCAAAGAATTGGTAATAAGAGAACAATTTGCAAATCTAACTGTCGTTTCAACTGAACAAAATATTTGGAACACATAGGTCAAGTTTTGAAATTCACGATCTAAAGCGAAAACGCTTTTATTACTTCCGCCCTAATATGATGCCTATAACCAAAAAGCCTAATTCATTCAGATACCACCGCAAGAGAAAGTGTGTGTAAAGTCTTTAATATAGCGTATAGGGTCTGTATGATGAGTGGTTTAAATTTGACGTTACAAAGGAGGTCTACAATTTTGGAAACCAACACTAATAGCTAGGGACGTGGATTGTACTACCACGTATCATCCCTCTAACGTAGATCAAAGACTTGCAAAATGAGGTTTAATCTCTACAAAGCAACCTCCTATAGTTGGACTTCTAACCTATTTAAATTATAATGATATGTTTGAGAAGCACGAAACCAATGGAGGGTAACTACTAAAAGGGAAACTGACTTTATTATTCGAACAGCATGGAAATGAAAAGTTAATTATTTCGTTTTCGTTGGCGAGCGAAAGGTGCTAAATCTTACTGAACGCCTATTTAATTTCACCTACCCTGCATCGAAAAATTAATTTGAACGTTAATTAAATTTGTATAGACAACACAAGCAGTTACCGTTTTGCGAATCGAAAGAAAACAAAAACGTGCACAATTTTTTAAGACAAAAATTCACACCGCAGTCTGGGTTGAGTAGATTCTCAAAAATCTAGACACCTCCAGCCATTGAAAATCCTGCACTTAGTTTTCTTTTCTCCTCATTATTATATGCTATGCTTTTTCTATATTTTTTTTAATTTTAAGTTGTTTGAATTTTATTGGACAGACGGGCAGACCGACGAACAAAACCATCACATAAAGGGAGCTTTTTGTTTCGAAAAATTCCCCCAAAAAAGTTATTGACGGGCAAAAAAGCACACCGTAAGCTCAGGCAACGTACAGGTGGGTCGGGGTGAATATCGGGGTCCTTAGTATTAAAAGAGGTTTCCGCAGAAGCAACGGAGCTATAATCGTTAAATGAATCTCAAGGAAATTTAATAATTACAATTCGATTGTATGGGAATAAATATGTAATCAAACGTTAAATCAGAAAATCGACAAAAATAACAAAAGTTGCTT